CCCTAAAGATTTTGGCTTCTGAATCATTCTCTTTTGCTCTACTATTGCGAATCCTACCCTAATTCATGCTAATCTCAGTACACACCATTGTCTTCACCTCTGTTTGACTCCTCTCTTACAATGGTGGTGTTCTATTCTTCTGCCACTCTCTCCCATATCACCCACATCCAACCAGTTCAACACAGCTGTAGGGAAACCATGTAAATTGTGTTAACTGGATCTCATCTTAATTTTTGTTGGGGCATAGAGGGGATTGAACTCAAGGGTACTTTACCACTGAGCTACATACATTCCCAGCCCCTTTTATTTTTTTATAAAAAAGCAAAGGCTGGCCTCAGAGTTTGGGTATGTCAAACTCCTGCTTCAGTCTCTTAAATTGCTAGGGTCACAGGCGCATGCCATCATACCTGGCCTTCTTAAATTTATAACCACAGCAAGGAATGGGATATAGCTCAGTGGTAGAACACTTCTGRGTTCAATTTCAAATACTACAAAAAAAATTATAACCACAAATCCTAAATGAGAACTTGTGCTGCCAGACAATCCTAAAGCACTTCCTTACTCAACTCATTCTTCCCACTCTCCTAGATGAATTTTACACTTCTTTTCCCTCAAACATCCAACACTTTCCCACCCTTCACTTTGAGCTGAAGACCTTCCATCTTATTTATCTGAGAATATAGATATATTTGGAAAAGAACTTCACATATTCTCACCCCAAAACTACCAACACACTAGTACTTGAGTTCATATAATCTGCTACTGACAAAATGCCCTTATGGAGATTGAGGCCAACATATCTTTTGTTTACTGGTTCCCATTTCCCCTTCAAGAGTCCCTTCTTTATATTTAATCAATTTATCTTCCCTACTGCACCATTCTCAGTAATTTACATATAAGCAACAATATTTGTCCACCTAAAAACAAAAGATAATTTTGTTTGTTTGTATTGGGGATTGAACACAGGGGTGCTTTACCACTGAGTTATAATCCCAACCCTTTTCATTTTTTATTTTGAGCCAGGGTCTTACTAAATTGCTTAGGGCTTAACCAAATTGTTGAAGCTGACCACGAACTTGCCATTCTCCTGCCTCAGCTTCCTGAGTTGCTGGGATTATAGGTGTGTACCACTGTGCCTGGCTAAAAAATGCATAATAACTCATGACCTTCCAGCTCTCCCTTACAACAATCATTCCCCTGACACACATTTTATTCGTACATTATAATCATACATAATGGTGGGATTTGTTGTTATATATTCATACACACAAGAATGTCACTATGACACTCTTCAATTCTTCTCATTTCCTCTTGACTCCACAGTTCCAAAATTGTTCTTGTCAAAGTCATCAATGACCTCCACATTATCAATCTAATAGTTTATTCTTAGTTCTCATCAGACAACAGTATTATTTGACTTTTGATTCTACTACTTGATTATGTCCTTGATTCTACTCTTGCCTCAGTGGTAGAAAACCATTTTTCCTCAGAATTTGGAAAACAATGTYACACTGTTTTTGTTTTGTTTTTTTAACCTTTTCACTCTTCTCTTACTTTACACAGGCACTATCCCAGGGCTTGGACATTACTCTGCTCTGTGTAATCACTCCCTGGATYGATATTTAGTTGCTGGCTTAAATAAAAACTTGGGAGTCACCAGCATATGGACAATATCCCCATAGTCCCAATTACTCTTGACACCAGACCATGATCATTTTGAATTGCCTAATAGATATCTAATTGCCTTATTTGTCTGCATCCATGGCATCCAACATGGTGTATGTTGGATTATTTGCTTAAAGAGGTTGTGAAATTTAAATTATTAAATAAGTCCCAAGCAGGAATCTATTAAAAAAATTTTGGGCAGTATGAAAGTATATTTCAGCCAGATTTCCACCAATTTCTTAATACTAATCCAGAGAGACTACGTTATATTTTAGTAATAATTTCAAAATTCCAGTGGCATTTCAACTTTTCCTCACTCTTTATACTCTGGTCCTACACTGATACAGTAACCATGATTTGGAGCAAGAGCCATCATGATAGAAGGAAAAAGAATGACAAATTACATACTAGAAGCTTTTATCATGAAGGATTACACATTTTTACTATACACATTTCACTGACCTAAAGCAATATRCGGGCCATATCCAACTTCAAAGGGGCAGGCAAGTACAATTCTACCAGAGGGTTAGGAGACAGAAACAAAAAATTAKCTGACGGACAGCACTGATGACTATCATATACTTAAAAGGAAATCTCTAATTCTGAGCAACAATATTTTAACTCCTGAGCTCCATTCTTTATCTGTAAAAATGAATTCCCTTACTAGAAGAGAACCATGCACTTGTAAATGCTATCTATGGATTTTTAGGAATGTAACTTCACCAGTTAGGCCTGCCTCTTTCATCACTCAGGAGTCAGAGAGCCGCAAAGAAGCCAAATATGGGTGACAGGAAAGTGCTGAGCCCAAACCTGATAGGAACATTCAGTGTCAAAAGTGAGGGAAAGGGCCTGGGGCATTAGCTCAGTGGTAGAGCCCATTCGTGAAGCACTGGGTTCCATCTTCAGCACCACATAAAAAATAAAATAAAATAAAAATAAAGGTATTATGTCAACCTACAACTAAAAAATAATTTWAAAAAATAAATTAACAAACAGATATCATGTGTCCATCTACTACTAAAAAAATATATTTTTTAGTTATACATGGACACAACATCTTCATTTTGTTTATTTATTTTTATGTGGTGCTAAGGATCGAACCCCGGGTTTCACACATGCAAGGTGAGAGCTCTACTGCTGAACCACAACCCCAGCCCCTAAAAAAAATATTAAAAGAAAAAAAAAAAGTGAGGGAAAGGTTRGATGTCGTGACATACACCTATAATCCCAGAGACTTGGGAGGCTGCAGTAGGAGGTTAGCAAGTTCATGGACAGCTTCAGCAACTTAGTGAGACCCTGTCTCAAAATAAAAAATAAAAAGTTGGGGATGTGACTCAGCACCACCGATTCAATCCCCAGTACAGGTTGGGGGAGGCTTGAATATGTAAGAAAAGAAGTTCAACTAGAAGTGGGGAAAGGAGGAAAACCTTCACCAAATTTCTTTGACCAAAGGTATACAACAACTCAGGCCTTGGTGTTCCTTTCACTATCCAGGTCTGAAGTCTAACAAGTTTCATGCAAACCACTTGATGGAAGATTCAGAGTTTGGGTATGTCTAATTCAAGACAGCCAACAAACTTCTTTTTAACATAAAATGCTATCTTTAAAGAAAATCAGCAAAAAGCATACTGCTATGCTACTGGAAACAAGACGGCTGCAATTACTTTACAGATGAATTTTTACCATAAAGTTGGTTCCCCACCCCACCCCACCCCCAGAAATCTCAAAAAACTCAAATAACAATTCCTGAGTTCAAGATGATCTGGGATAAACCCCTAAGTCTACAAAGAGCTGGATTTAACGGATGGCTGCTCCAAGTTCTAAATWTCTATACAAAGTTCAAATACTTTCAAACAGTGAAACCATCTGGCATAAATATTGGGATGGATTGGAGATGGTTACCATAATCAACTGAACACTTGAAACTGTAAAGCTCAGAAGGAATTTCATTGAAAGGCAAAGAAATTCGCCTAACAATGAATTAGAAGTAAATTAGGACTCCTAAATGCATCATTTCATTACCAACTAGTCCCTTCTTCCATCCTCTATTCATTCAACAAACATATATTAGTGCTGGGATGTGGGAAGGAATTCCAGGAAGTAAAGAAGGAACAGAATTCTAAGAATGAGTTCTTGCTTTCCATGAATTTGGTCTAGTTAAAACAACCTCCCCCCAAAAAAAAGAGTTTGGCAAGCAAAAAAAAAAAAAAAAAAACCCACCTTAAGTACCATAACAAGAATATAGGAAAAACCATTTAACATAAGTTAATAAGCTTTCAAGGGAAAAAAGCCATATTCCCTTTGTTAAGTGGCTGGGATAAAGAAAATGCAAACAAAAAACCCTCGTCTGGTTTAATGACAGTTAATCAGCACTAAAGCTCATTGCTAGCTCTCCCTCCCCATCAAAAGATCTCTGCTGCAGCCCCTCCATCATTCCAACCTCCACACTCTTCTTGCAGCCCAATACCAGGCCGGTCATGAACAATGGCCAGACTATCAAGGTCAGCCCCAAAGACACAGGGAATAAAAACTGGAAACGGATCCTTTTATACAAAAAGGAGGCAAAAGAATCCTCTCCAACGCCAGCCCCCACACCATACCAAGACAGCTGGARGCTGTCTCTAGACTCAGGGATCTGGCATCAAGAGCTTTCGGGGGTTCCGGACCCTCTTTTCCCTCCCCATCCAGTTAATTTCCACTCCTGCGACCCTAATGCCCTCCATCTCCCTCCAATCTGAGCTCCCATCGTGGACTGAGGGGGTGTCCCGCTTCAGGCTGGGGCAGGGGAGGTGGGAAACACGCAATAAGGGAGATGCTCTCGGTGTGTATGTAGTGGGCGGGGGTGCTCTTTAGGGGAGCCACTGTCACGGGTAAAGGCTCTAGACACCTACAATAGCCGGGGTTTATAGGTAAGCGGTTTCTGAGCGGCACGCATTCAAGGTTCTATTTTAGGGGAGCTATTGTGTGTAGGAGCGAGAGACTTCAGAGAGAGCTGTTTCTATTCCACGACCAGGGCAAGTGAGTTTTCCACAGGGAAGCCACTGCGGGTTCTCTAAAGGACGCCCTCTCCTAAAGGAAAACGTTCTACGGGGATGGGGATGTCACAATAGCGGGGGTCTCCACAGAGAACCGTTGCAGGGTTGTCCGTAGCGAAGCCATTAAGGGGACTCTACAGAGGGCGCCTTCCGGGGAAACGTTTCTCCAGGAGCCGTTTTAAGAATCGTCCTCAAGGAAGCCATGTCGGGCCACGCCCTGCGGCTGGAGGAGTCGCCGGACCCCGACATCCCGCATCCCCCCCCCCCCGGCCGCCCCTCTGCGGCCTCGGGCCCGCGTACCTGACGGAGGGCGACCCGCGGCCGGAGCTGCCGGGGAACCGTGAGCGGGGCAGCCCTAGCTGGTGCACGGGGTATACGTCCATGGCGGCAGGCTGCGGAGGAGGACCGTGTCACTGTGAGGGTCGTTAAGGCCCGCCGGGCGGCTCCAGGCCCTCTGTGGCCGGGCGGGGCGGAGGGGTGTGCCGGGTGGGAGGGGGCGCGGCGCGCGGGGGCACGTCGAGGGGCGGGGCGGACGCAACCCGGGGCGCGGACTGGGGCGTCGGGACGGCCCCGGAGTGGGGGGCCGATGGGCGGCCGCAGGGCCCCGCCCTATTTAGACAGCGAGGCGGTCGGGCGGGACGTTGCGGGCAGGAGTACCCGGTATGAGAGCTACCTGGGAGCCGCTCTGYCCTGTTATAAGACCCCGGATAATCGAGTGGGACTCTGCCCGGCGCCCCCCAGCCACGCATACGGACGCTTCTGGGGGGCGGAGCCTCTCTCCAGCCCCGCCCCATCAGCTCAGGCTTCCAGTGAAACCTTCCGCTGCACCCTCTGGAGCTAGGGCACCTCCCCGCTCCTGGCTTTCATCCCCGGGACACCCGGGCCGGTGCCGCGCTGATCTCTCCTCAAGGGCTGCTTATTAATTGCGCACCCACCCTCCAAACACTCCGCAGATTCCTAGCAGCCCTCCCATTAGCAGTGCTCACCCAGCCCTGCGCAGGGCTTGAGCGTTAGGGGCTCAGGCTCTCAGCCAAGGACCCCGGCCCTTTGCTCTTCAGATTCTGGCTCGACCCGCCTCTGACTGCCGGGCCAAAGACCAGAAACTTAATCCCACTAAGCCCAGTCCTTTTCTCTGTAAAATTGGGGAAATATTTTATTGGTAGGATTACCAGGCATCCTGTATGTACAAGATCTATTTCATGATTTCGTTCTGTGTTTGACTTTGTCAGGATGTTTTAAATTCCCTGTATTCATCTTTCAACAATTACAATAATTCGCTAGAGCTATTTTTTCCACCACAATAATTGGCCTTTCAATCACTTAAATGACGGCACTGACTGAAAATTCTCCTTCCATATATAAAGCTCTTGACTATCCCTGTGGCGTCTCCAGCATATTTCGCTGAAGGAAGACCAAATAGTACAARTTTAAAGTACATGTTTTTCAAATTCAAGAAAGGAAAAGACTTTTGATTCAAATCCCAATACTGACCAAGTAACCACCATTCGAGATAACTTCACATCACTACACATGCTCTGAAAATCAGCCAATCAGCKACAGCCTCACTCCAGGGGTTTAGCTTCTGAAAACCAGCCAGTCCTCTCAAAGTAAATCAGTGACAGGCCCAAGCTTCTGAAAATCAGCCAGTCATTGACAGCTCTCGGTTTCTAGACACTAGCCAATGAGCAATTGCTTCACACCAGTAACTAGGCTTCAAAAGCCCGTCCTCAGCTGCCTTGTTGAAGTAACCACACTGTCTAAAACAGCTGAATCTGTTAATTGCTAAATGTGCCAACTTCTTGGAGGACCACCAGTCCCTACAGGCCAGACTTACTAAAACTTTAAGTAAGCCCTGGCATTGTTCAGAGACTGTCCCTTGCAAGCAGATGAGAAATTCGTCTTTGGCTTTTTTTTCCCCCCATCACGTGGAGTTCAACTTTGTTGTTTTCCCACAAGTTGGAAGTTTGCAAATCTTTCAAGATTCAATTCCCATTTATACTTAAGTATGAGTTTGGATTTGTGTCAGATGAAGAGATGCAAGCCATGAGACTCATCAAATACAACCTTTCCAATTCTTGTTGTGGTCGCTGTATTAATTTTTWAAAGTACCACAATTATGTTTAGAACTCCTCCACCTCCTTGTTATTAAGCATTGATTGAAYCCAGGGTAACTCTACCACTGAACTACATTCTCAGCCCTTTTCATTTTCATTTTGAGACAGAGTCTTGCTAAGTTGTGAGGGATGACTTCCAATTTGAGATCTCCTGCCTCAGTCTCCTGAGTCGCTGAAATTGCAGGCCTGAGCTACCATGCTGGGCCATTTTTAGAATATTTTTATCATAGCAACAGGAAACTCTGTACTTAATAAGCATTCATTTCCCATTTTTCCCCAACCACCCCAGCCATAGGCAACCATCAATCTTTCTCTTTTTGTCCTTTCTGGAAAATTCCTATGTACACAGAATCATACAGTATGTGGTCTTTTGTGACTGGCTTCTTCCATTTTGCATAATTTTTGTAAGGTTTATCCGTGTTGTAACATGGATCAGAATTTTTCTTCCTTTTCCTTTTTATGTTTGAAAAATATTCCATTATATGAATACCCCACACTGTGCTTATCCATTTATCAGTTAATGGATATTTGGGTTGTTTCCACCTTTTTTTTCTCTTCTTTTTTTTACTGCTTTTTAGCCAATACTAGTAGGAACTTTGTTATAAATTTTTGCATAGATATACATTTTTAGTGCTCTTGGAAAACTATGTTTAATATTTTGAGGAATTCCAAACTGTTTTCCAAAGAGAGAGCACCATTTATATTCTCACTAGCAAGGTCTGAGGGTTCAAATTTCTCCACATCTATCTCTTTGGTTGTGATAAGCTCAGTGGATATGAAGCGATGTCTCATTGTAGTTTGGGTTTGCATTTGCCAGATATATATATATATATATATATATATATATATATATATATATATGTGTGTGTGTGTGTGTGTGTGTGTTTTATATTATATAAAACATATAACACACATATATATAGAACATATATGTGTATATATATATATATATATATATATTTTTTTTTTTTTTTTTTTTTTTGGTACCTGGGATTGAACTCAAGGACACTCAACCAGAACTTTTTTGTAGTTTATTTAGAGACAGGGTTTCACTGAGTTGCTTAATGCCTCACTGTTGCTAAGGCTGGCTTTGAATTCAGATCCTCCTGCCTCAACCTCCCAAGCTCTGGGATTTCAGGCATGCAAGACCTTGTTGGCTACTTTTATCTTACTTGGAGAACCTTCTTTTCAAATCTTTTGTCCATTTTTATTGTATTATCTGTTATTTTATTATTAAGTTGTAATAGCTCCTTATATATTCTAARTACAAGTCCCTAATCAGGTATATGATTTGTGAAAATTTTCTCCCATTCTGTGGGTTGTCTTTTCATTTCTTTCTCCTGATCCCCCAGTGCTGGGGATTGAACTCAGAGATGAGCTATCACTGAGTTACAGTACTAGCCCATTTTATTTTTTGTTGGTTAGTTGGTTGGTTTTGGTATTGGGTATTGAATCCAGGGATGCTTTACCACTTAGCTACATTCGTAGGCCTTTTTTATTTTTTATTTTGAGACAGGGTCTCATTAAGTTGCTTAGGTCCTCACTAATTTACTGAGGCTGGTCTTGAACTTGCAATTCTTCTGCCTCAGCCTCTTGAGTTGTTGGGAGTGTGCACCACCATGCCCTGCTCTTTTCATGTTCTTTTTTTTTTTTTTTAGCTGTAGATGGACAGCATGTCTTCTTTATATTTGTCTATTTTTTTTAATGAGGTGCTAAGGATTGAGCCCAGTGTCTCAAACACTCTGCCACTGAGCCACAACCCCTGCCCAGCCCCTTTTTTCACATTCTTATGTCCTTTTAAGTACAAAACTTTTAAATATCCGACTTTTCTTTTTTATTTGTTTTTATTTTGTTATTTTGCTTTATGTATCTTAACTAAGAAACTATTGCCTAATCCAAGGTCATGARAACTTAATCCTATGTTTCTTCTGGGTATAATAGTTTTGGTTCCTACATTTAAGTCTTAGATTCATATGGAATTAATTTTTATATGGTGTGAGAAAGGGATCCAATTTCATTCTTTTGATTATGGCTATCCAGTTATCTCAGCATAATTTGTTGACCAAACTATTCTTTCCTATTGAATTGTGTTGGTACACTTGTTGAAAAGTCAATTTCATGATGAATTTTCTTTTTTTTTTTTTCCTCATACTGGGAATGGAACCCAGGGTATTCTACTACTGAGCTACATTCCCAGCACCCRCCTTTTCTTTTAATCTTGAGACAGGGTCTCACCAAGTTACTGAGACTGGCCTCAAATTTACAATTCTTTTGCCTCAGCCTCCCAAGTCACTGGAATTACAGGTGTGTACTATCACACTTGGCTCATGATGAATTTTCTAAATAGTGTACTTTCGAATAAGGGAAATATTCACTTTCAATTATTTCTGCAGCATGCAAATGTTCAGTCAATATTGAAAATGGCGGAAAGACAGATATAGAGCAGCATATGCTAACAGCTAAGCATGAAAGATATGGGATTCCCTCAACTTGTACCAAAGGAAAACATAAAAACATTTTTTTTCTTGTACCAGGGATTGAACCCAGGAGCACTTAACCACTGAGCCACATCCCCAGCTGAGTTGCTTAGCCTCACTAAATTGATGAGGCTAGCTTTGAACTCATGATCCTCCTGCCTCAGCCTCCCAAGCCACTGAGATTACAGATGTGCACCACTGCACCCAGCCTAAAACAACAAAATTTTTATTGAGATTCCAATGAAGGTAAAATAATCACAGCAGAAGTTGTAATGGCTTCCCACATTATTCTTGTCATCAGTCTTTTGGCTCAAACAATCCTTTGAATGCACTGTTACCAGAAGTTTGTTGTTTGTTTATTTGTTTTTTGGTACTGGGTCTTGARCCCAGGGGCCTTAACCACTGAGCCACATCCCCAGCCCTTTTTATTTTTTATTTTGAAACAGGGTCTCACTAAGTTGCTTGAGACCTCACTAATTTACTAAGGCTGGCTTTTGAATTTGGAATCCTCCTGCCTCAGCCTACTGAGCCCCTGGGATTACAGGTGTGCATCACTGCATTGGGCAACCAGAATTACTTTCTATTTCCAAAACTACAAGCAAATTTTCAGATGCCAGGACAAAATATATTGCAGTAATGAAAACTGTAATAACTCCATTCACTGCTGCAGTTAATTATAAAGCTCTAAATGTCTCACCTTTTTATAGACTAGCCAAAGATACAAGTAATCACAATGCAGAAAAATTGCCCCTTATACAATATCTTTCTTATGAAAAAGACTTGCTTGTAAGWCTATTTTGAGCAAAATTCCTTACAGATGAGATTTCAGAAACAAGAGATTCTCTTATGGAATTGGGAATTAATAAGAAAAATTGTACTGTTTTTGGTTGAGATAATACATAATATTTCAGTATTTATTCACACAGTGTTTATTCAAAGTTGGAGTAAAGCTGGAATAATCCTATGGAAACTGAATGTCTTGCTCACATTCTGAATACTGTTGCTCTGAAACAATCTGGTGTTCTTTCTGTTGATTGTGAAGGAATTGTCATGAAATTATTCTCTTACATCAGCATTTATATTGTTTGAATTGAACAATTAAAATATTTTTGTGATTTGGTTGGCATTGACATTCCTTGATTCTGTTGCATTAAAAAAC